TTATGTAAACACCGATATTTTTTTACAGTACACACATCTACTAAACCCGAAAGAGAGAGAGAGAGAGAGAGAGACAAATAATAATAAAAGCACCCACCGAAGAAGTCCTCCCAGCTGACCGAGCCGTCGGAATCCACGGCGTTGGTGCCCGCGACTTCCACATCCGCCTCGCTGCCCATCGTATGACGCGCGCGTCCCTCGTCGCGCGACCTCACGCCGATCCGTCAAAGTGATCAACGTCGTTACTCGCGAGACACGCCACGATCATCGCACTCGTCGCATAGCGCGACGTCCCGCCGGGCCGCGTTGAACGACGCGGCGACGCGTCCGCGAGCGCGCGCCAATCGCGACTGACATTGTTTTGCGGGCGCCGAAAGTGTCTCGCCGCGGAAAAGGGTGAACGATCGGAGGAGTGATCGATACGGATCGCGCGCGGCTCGACGGAACAACGAAAACGGTACGCGCGACCGGCGCGCGGAGCAACCGCGGCGCGCCAAACCCGAGCGTCAAGAGGAGCGTCCCGCGCGACGCGACCGCGGGATGAAACGCGACTGACATTCGACCGCATTCAACGACCGCGGCCAGGCCGCGCGATACGGCGGCGCGGTGCGCGGAGTGCCGAAAATCACCGAGGGTGAACGATCCCCACGGACCAATCCGGGGTTCTTGAGAATTCCGCGAAACGCGCGGCGCGACACCCCCGCGCTTACTGGAAAATGCGAATCAAGCATTTCGATATCTGTGTACCGTAAAATAAAAGGTGACAAGTATCGTTAGGTATGTACTCTAAATTCTTCGGAGCGAAACGTCTCATTCTATAAAGAGTGAAAATTGACTTTCTCTTGAAACAGAGACTTTGAGATTGAAGATAAAATTTGACCAATCAAAATGAATGGAGCGAAAATTGTTTCGCCCTCTCATTGGTGAAATAAAATCTGTGATTTTCAATCTCAATCATTTTCAAAACATAGTCTAATTTTCTTTGAAGAGTTAATCTTTAAGATGAGTTTGATATTGTTGCCTTTCGAATGAGATTCGTTCTAAAAGATTTAGAAAGTGAGTAAAGCGGGATAGAGAATATCAATCATAAATCAAGCAAAATTTTATTGTTACTTATAAAGAATCGTAAAAAATAAATGACAAATGACATTAATATAATAATTGGATTTTTCTTGATATGGGTATATAAATCATTTTTCGACTGTCTACCCAGTGTATTATATCGGAATTAATTATTATGTGACTACCGATAAGATCGAATCAAATCAGATTTATAGTGTAGTAATAATTTGATAACAAAAAGGTGTAGCTTTCCATTAACGCCGAGTAGCTTTTCACCGATATATAAAATTAACTTCAATGTAAAATTAACTTTATCTTTCTTTTTTTAATTCTTAGAACTGAAAAATATGAAAAATTAGAACCAAGATTAATTAAAATTACGTTAATAGAAACGAACATTATAATACAGGATGACAAAGACTAACGTTTTTTTTTTTTTTTTGGAAGAATAAAACATGGTATGTCCTTTTTAAATTTATTCTTTATACTTCAAATTTGCTTCAAACAGTATTATAAAAAATATGCTTGAAAGATGTTAATAACATCGATTAAATATTGAAAACATGTGTAAAATACGTTTTTCACACCAATCCTGCATTAGTAACGCAAATCGACACAAACATTGTTGTTGTTTTCCTTTCTACTCAGTAAAAGTAACAAAGACAGTTATTTTTGTTATTTGAGTCGACCTGTGTGTGTCATCAAATGTACGTACAATGCAAGGAATAAAAGCATCCATGTAATATCAATGTATGTAGTACTTAAATACGTTTACACTTTATACATATATAAAATATTATATACAAACAATACTTTTTACATAAAAGTTTCGGCATACTATAATTTATTTATTGTTAATATACTATAGTTAATAAAAGTAATTTTCATGTCGATATTTACATGAATTGGTTTTTGCTAGATGAAATTAGATAAAAATATGAATATAGTATATATATATAAATTTTTATATGATTTTTAATACATCTCTAAATACTAAAATTAAATTTGATCTATAGAGTGGTCTCCGTCGCAGCTTCTAATACAAATCGCTGGAATGTTTCTCAAAATTGTCGGAAGACGACATTTCGGAAGATATAGGTATTTAAGAGACGTTTCGATGAGAAAGTGGAAGCTGAGATACGCGCACGCATTGCGTGGAATATTAACGAGCGGCGTAACGTCTCTCTCTCTCTCTCTCTCGAAATAAAAGATCTTCTCCCCGAATATATATATATATATATTGCTCAACCAAGAGTTCCGTGAAAGTCGTTGCTACACATTCTTACGACCCCTCTTCCTCTCCCCCCCTCCCCCCTGCCCTTTATATCCCCCGCGCTGAGTTGCGTTAATTTTTTTGAAAGAATACACGCACCTATACACGCGCGTGCATACATTAGGGGCCTGCTACGCGTGCACGATACTTCTACGGAATCGCCGACGTTCTATTATTAGACGGCCAGCGTTGCATCCCGCAAAGGCGAGATGAATGGAGAAGGCTGTACGTTAGGACGTCGTCCCTTAATCCGTCGTAAACGAAAATTATCGTGGAAAATACAATTTAATAATAGGCCGAAACCGAGCGTATACGAGGTGTTATTAATAAGTAAAAAAAAAAAAAGATAATAATTACATATAAAAATATAATAATTACAACCTGTGATAGTATAATAAATCTGACTAATAACTGAATAATCATAATGATAAAAAAATGGCCGTAAATATGAGTAGAAGATTCACGAAAGAAAAAAAAGTAGCGTTTAAATTAATGGTAATTAATAATGCGAATTAATTAATTAATCGACATACATTCTGCAGTAATATTCATTGTAATAACTTGTATAATAAATATTGTATTATAGAGGAAAGAAATCATTCGATCTGTTGATCATACATACTTGTTTTATATTTCGCATCGTACAAACAACGTGTATATACAAGATTGCTATAAGAAAATGCCGATGCGAGTATAGTCTAATACACAGTTTACTTTATTACATACAATTCCTCTTCTATCTAGTAGTTCTCTGTTATCTCTGATCGTAGTTACACTTGATTACACCTTCCTCATTTGAAGTATATCAACTTAAATGATCGCATCTTTCTTATGAAACAATAGTCGTTTCTCTAACAATACTTAGGAGAATGCGCTTTTATTGCGCGGTGACTTTAATTATTATTACTAAAGTCCATTTTATTACTAACAATTTATACAAAGTGATGTAATTTAATAATGTATCGGGCCGTACAAAATGTTGGCGGATAATAGAGATATTCTTTCTGCAACAACATTGTCATTATACAAACCTTATACGCAAAATTTAATTAGATAATTCCTTACATATCTCTACTTTCTTAAAAATCAAGTATCTAATATTTCTATACATAAATAATATGATAAAACATTTCATAAATAGAAATAAAATATAAATACGAATGATGTACGATTGATAATAGTTAGTCTCAGTTAAAGCAGTAATAATTTGTTGTGGCACACACAGGTATATGTACATATCTATCATCACTTATAATGATAAAAAATAAATTATCACAAATGTATTGTAAAAAAATTCTAATATAAAACTATAAATGAATCATAAATTCATCAACAAAAGCACTAACAATGATTAAACATACAACGAGTAATGTTTTTTAAACTTAAATTAGGATACCTGTATCAAATTATAAAAAGTAGTACAGCGTGACAATAAAATTGACTAAATCGCAGATTTTCGATGTAATAAGCTTGAAAGTCCGAAATACCACTGATATTGATCAAACTTTCCATTCATATTAAAGAATGTGTGTGAGATCTTATCATATGTTTTACAAATGCTCCTTTGCAGTGAATTTTATTATCCTCAAGGAGAGAGAGAGAGAGAGAGAGAGAGAGAGAATAATAAAATTCACCAGTACATTGGTACAAATTTTAAGTATCATGATGTCATTTTAAATGTTGAATTAAAATGTTCGTTATGCTTTATATTTGTATAATGCACATACATGTATCAAGTACGTACCATTGAAATTAATGTTGCTGCAAATACAAATTGTTATTGTACAAATTAGCATTATGAGAAAAAATGTATAATTTGTAGAATTAAACAAAGAAGAGCGTATAATGTGCAATGTGCGTAGTACGGAAAGAACATGTGCTATCTCTGCTTTATATACTACTTATTCTCGTACAAATGATGATAAAGTTACATATTTACATACAGGAATAACTTCTTAATATTTTACAATTCTTGAGAAGCTGAAATAGGAAAAAAGGCAATAGTTATGGAAAACGAGATTTTAAAAAGAATATGATAATACACGTTCTTTTCTTCGATATTCTTTTATGATCTATATTGCACAAGACATTCTTAAGTAAAAATTTTGTAATGTATATATAATTATAAATAAATTTTTTATATTAATAATTTTTACTATTTTGTGCAAATTTATTTTTACATCTGAAATTAAATTTTTTAAGATTAAAGATTTTAAGAGGATGAGAACGTAATAGATTTTACAACTGCATACTATATTATCGATTAAATCAATTATAATCGTATATCACCGATACTCGATTCAAATTATATGTAGCTAAAATATTGATCAATTTGATGGATTTTAATATATCACATCCATAACACTGCACAAAATTAAATAAATTCAATCTAACAATTAAACTGCAATTTATTTGTATAATTTCCAATGATTTCAATCTTATTATCACCATATCTTTCAGAAATATTACAGCATTCGCACAATCAATGTTTCTATATAAACATATTAATTCTATTGAATCTCTGCCTTTCATAAAAGGAAGTCACTTATTCATTAAGATCATTATTTTGTTCGCTATACAACTATTTAGAAATCCTATGTTTATCAGAAAGTTATCAAAGAACAAATAATATAATAATGAAGCAGTCTTAAATAAATTGGCGCGATGTATATCTATAACATCATTAATGGATGAGATTTTATCAAATAATACTTAATATTTGCTGTTACGTTGAGAATGCCAATATTCACCGACAGAGGTCTTTGTAATACTAATTTCGGTTAACTCGATGGTTCGAGTGAAAATGCATTGTAGTGTCTCCTGCATTCAGTACGAGCGCGTATACTTAACGCGAAACATTACCGTGTCTCTTGACAAGACCAAATTTTCTTTAAGATGAACCTTTCCTTCTTTTATGTGTAACTTTGCTATTGGTCGAGTCATCCTTTATTTCCTTATGTTGCTCCTGAGCGCCAGATCCTATAATATATAATATGCAATATATCATCAAATATACATTGTATCATACCTAACTTAAAGAGTATATGTATGGTGGCTTATCACTGTCGCATAAACTTATAACAAATTTTTTTTAACGTTCATAAAACAAATTTATAAAAATTATTTTCTGTAATAGAAAATGTTAACAGTATTTTTCAAACTTAGTTTAATTTTTTTAATTTAAATGAGTAACAAATTTTGAGATTCTTTACAAATTGGTCATTCAGACAGTGTAAAAAATGACTCTCTCTAATTGGTTAATAATTCAATAACTAGCTAAATATTAGTACTTAATAAATAATTTAGTTCGTAATTAATACCGAAATATTATACTATAATTAAACATGTAGTAATGATAGATCACACTTATATAAGTGTGCTTACTTATGTAAGTGCGTGAAATACAATCTTACGTTTTCTCTTTGCTACACGTGAGCGCGTCACGCGCGAATTATTTTCGGAGTTAGGTACAGAAATGGGCGTCTCATTAATTTTTTTTCTTAATCGCGCAACTTCTTCCATTGCAGGTGTCATCCATTTTGGTTTGAATTCATTACTGAGATTTGAAAAATCACATATTAGAACAATGTGCGCATGCACGCGTGTGTATACACGTGTTATGTACATAAAACATACACATTGCAAAAGTGGATACTTACTCCGATGATTTCGGTGTTGCTTTATGCCTAAACGAACCTGATTGCCTCTCTTTCATTTTACGAAGTACTTCTAACATTGCGTATGTCGGCAGAGACGGCGGCCGCGGCGATGTGGACGATGGTGGTGTAAGAGGCGGTGTGAGAGGTGAAGGTGGCAGTTGAGTACTAATTTTTGCGAGTTTGTCTGGATGTAATGCTAATACTGCTTCCCAACTAAATTCTTTCTTCTGAACTGGTTGCTTAGGCTGAGTATTTCGTGTTATTCGTAACTAGAATATAGATAAGGTAATAATCAATCCTTCACGTATGTGCGCGTAAATTTACGAATTTTATTAGCAGACATTTGAAACTCAAGCAAATTTTTTACCTCGCCGTTTACAGGTCTACAAGGTTTTCTTTCTCTTAAATACGGACGCTCAAAAAATATAGAGCTTGTAAGATTTTCATTTGACTCTTTCATGTTATAAAGACATATAGGAATATTGCCATCTTGACTGCCACTACGTAGAAATAAATTCCGTAAATAGGAATAGTTGGGCTTGGTCTCGAATTCTAGTTCGGTAATGCACTTCATATATTTCATGATCGCAGCTATAAAAATGAATATCATATAGCCACTCTATATATGTACACACACATACACGCACGCACGCACTTACTATACAGATTTTTATCTTATATTTTTACTAACCTGGTGGTTTTTTCTTCTCAGGAAAGCACTTGTCCATAAATAGAGGCAAGTCCGATAAAAACATCTCTTTTTGTTGATGAACTTCTTCGGGATCCATAGTAAAACCTATTTCGTCACTATTTTTCTCCCAAGGTAGCTTCCCACACATCCATTGTATAATGTTATATCCTAAAGTCTCTAAGTCCCCTCTCCTTGAATGTGCTGAAAAATATTTTATCAAATAAGAGTATAAAATAACTTGATTTTCTATTTAATAATAGTCAAAAGGAACAGAAAAAAAGATCAGTTTATCGAATAAAATTGAGCGTTAAATTGTTTTTTTTTAATTTAATAAATCCTAAGATAAACAGTTCAATTATTCCTGTCAGCTCTTTTGCGCGGGAAAAAAAATCTATTTTTATAATCTTTATACAAAAAATTTGCAAATATGCGATTGTAACTGTAATATATGTTACTGAAATGATTGACATACTTCCATGATGAGCGTCCCGGGATGTAAATTCTAAAGTACCCTCGTGAGCTCTTCTCTCATCATGTACAAATGGTTTATGTTCTCCAATTCCTGTACGGAAACGATACGCCAGTCCATAATCCACCAAGTACGCCATCGATTTTTCTTTTCCTATTCCGTTTCCATATGATAACAAGATATTTGGTCCCTTAATATCTGCGTGAGCATATCCTTTACTGTGAATATATTCCAACGCATCAAGCTACAAAAAAAAAAGTTAATCAACTGCAACTTTGATTTAATTGATTATTAATTGTAAAAATCGCAATTCCAAGTGTAAAATTGTACCATTTGTACAGCTAACGTATTAACAAGTTTCGTTGGTAATTTCTTCCGATGCGATAGGAATAATTTTCCGATATCTACGCCATATCGAGGTATTATTAAAAACCTATATCGTTGACCTCCATAAAAGTGAGATCCTGATCCTTCGTATGTAGGTACACCAATTCTACTCTTTCCCTGAGATTCACACCAACTTTTGACTGTAAAATATATCAAGATATGAAAAATACAATTATTTGGGGTGTGTGTATGTACAAAATTATAATTACATATATATAATATGTATGTATAATTATATAAATGTAGTTATGATATGTTACTTACTCATGTGCTTCCGTGCTGCTCTGATATAAAAATTCATTTCGACAAATAATGGCCCATTATTATGAGGTTCAATTTTTACGACATACTTTGCATCTTGACCAACAGGTGATGTAACGTTATTAGAAGCTACGAAAGAAGAAGCGAAAGATTAATACATAGATAGGTCTACATATATAGACTATAATATAGATTTCAAACCTAAAACAAATTATAAATATAAGAATATTTACCGAGGTATATGTCTCCAAAACCACCATATCCAATGGTATTCCCTAGTCTCCATTTATTCTGTGTAATATCTGTCAAGATTTCTCCAGCTGGCAGTTGCGCTGGTAATTTACAACCTGCAGCTGCTATTCTCTTCATAGACACATCTTCTGCTCGTCTTGGCGGCATCCTATCACTATTAAATCATTTACGTGTATATTAGAAATTTACTATTGACTTGACAAAACTTGTTATATAGAGAGATTCATCCAACACTTGTAACAGGATTTGTTTGCTACCAAAATTGTATCGTAAGAGATACAACTTATTTGATACAAATATATGATAGCAATAAAAAATCTCACAACTTTGTAAAAACAAGAACATGTCAAGGATATTAATAATTTTATACTTTATTTGTATACATTTTTGAGGTGTTTTATTTAATATCAATTATGTAAAAATACGTCATTATTAAAATAACATATATGTATATCATGTATAACAATTTTATAGTTATTATACATAAGTTTCTACAATATAAAAGATACCTACATATATATATATGTTATAATTAAAAATAGAAAGCAATGTTTAGTATATAAAATTAAAGAATATAATTATCATATATTTGTCTTTTGATTAATATATAAATTATATTTTTTGATAAATTACAAATATTTAAAGTTATATATACATTTATTTATTTTATTGTTACTCGCATTCACCAATTTAATTTTTTCCCCAACAATTTAATTAAAGATACAATAGTATCTATATAGTAAGATACATTACTAAGTATATAGCATAAGTAAAATACTATTCTCTTCTTTAAATATATTATTCATTAATATATACAGAATTAAAATACATAATTCTGTTGCAGGATGTAAATTAAAATATAATTGTACATGAAAATTATCATAAATAGACAAGCAGTCTATTGCATGGCTTAAGAATTATAACATACAACACCTATAACAAATTTAATTACTTGACTACTTTGCGTTACTCTAAAAGCTTAAGTTATTGCAATTATATAAACATAAAATATATAAAAAATAGTCAATATTAATATCATCCATCACATTCCTAATGGAATACATATCTGGTATCTTCCAACATTATTCGTCAATATATAGTACATTATATTATGCCTTCTACAAATTTATCTTCATATATAAATATATAGACCCTTTAATATTTTAAAAAACTAACTAAAAAGATCTGTTCTTTGTAGCTTAACTAACATACACTTTTGAAACTTAAAAGTAAAACAGATATATATTTGATATTTAGGAAAAGTAAAAAAAGAAGTTTCAGTGCAGTGTCTAATGCAGGAATAAACACCAGTTGCCTTAAATTAGCAATAAACACAACTCGCTACTTCCACGATCCGTTTGCTACAATTTTTGGTAACGCGTTAACTTACATGATGTAACAATTTCTACATAATTGTACACGACGAATGAACGTTCTCGATAAATTAATATAATGATACAAATATTTATACATAATTCATAGTAAACATACGAAGCTACTAAGAAATAATAAAAATGCCTTTAAAAATGTATTAATCAATTCCGTGAAATAATGCGAATGGACTTCAATAACAATGCGTTGTAAAAAAGGGAATCGTAGTACATGAAAAGAGGTTCGTTACAAAAATGGATCTCGATATCTCATCAAGACCTAATAAAAGACCTCGTCGACGACACCGGATTCAATTTCTATGTCAAGTCACGTATCAACATGCCATCAACAACAGTATACTTACATGGATGTACGAACTTTTCTAATCTCTTTTTCTACTTTTTTGTATCGGCTTATTTTATTAGTTTAACGGGAGGAACTCATATCGCGCATTCGTGCGAGCACTCGCGGGTAAAGCGTTTCCGACGACTACGAGGGAGGGACTCCGCAGTTACGTCTCGCCGAACGTCAGGTGCATTCCGCAAGGTTAATCGCGGAAGGATCTCGAACGAAACGCGACTTAACGTACGTCGCCGTACCAGATCGGCTCGAGGATCGTCGAGGCGATCAGCCGGCGCGCTTTTCCCTCGGAGAGACGAACGCGTGCGAGGCTCGTCGCGCCACGGAGGAGAGGAACACCTAACCAGCGAGATTGCGATCCGCAGATCGTAATGATCGTATGCCAAGAATGCCGCCGCAGGACGTGCTGCTGCGGTGCCGCAACGCTGTGGTTCAACGTACGTTGCCCGCGTACGTTTGATGGAACGTGCGAAGGAACGTTCGGCCGATGTCGCGTCGGTGTCGAGAGCTGGGGTCGAACGACGCGAGCGGAAAGCGCATTCGAAGCTTCGGAAACAGTCTGCCGACAGGGTCTCTGCTTGGCCGCTCTCGGAACACAAACCGGACGGCACCGGACCGGACACACCACCAACCCGCTCGAACTTGCGATTCCGGTCTCCCTCGGATATAATACACCTCCGCCGTCGAAGCTCGACAAATCACATCGCACCGCAGCGCCGAGATACGCTTCGGGTGGGAGCGCGAATCAGCTGGAGAATCTGTCTCCAAGCGACAACGTTATCTCGCGCATAGAAGCAGCGAAGTATATCTCGCGTGACAAAATTGATGATCACAGGAGACCAGCCGAGAGCCGACTCTGTCTATTTTTCTTTTTCTTTTTTTCTTTTCTTCTTCTTTTCAAATGACAAAACGCAACGGAAAACGATTGGCTGATCGGGAAATTCGCCCCAGGCACGGTGTGTACGGCCAATAGGAACGGTTGTTTTCTAGGGACGATACGGTTTCCTCCCCGGCTTTCAAACCTGCGAACCTTCTAGGAATATTTTCCCCACCGAGTTCGAACGCACATTTTCAAGCCGTTTATGCGCTCCGTTTCTTCCACGACGCGCGTAGAAGCGCCAGATTCCCCGTTTCCCTTTTGATGCGCACTCGCTGCACGCGTTTTCCGGGTGCCGCGAGACCGCGTCGACCGCGTGAAGTTGCGTCCACTTACTTTCTAGGGACTTCCAGGTACCGCGACTCAGTAATTGGCAGCTCTGCGAGCGCTTCAGGGCCGATTGTAGGGACTTTCGAGAGGAAACAGCTGATCGCTCTCGATCGCACCGCCTGCCACTGTCCGATCGATGATGTCGTCCTCTCCCCATCACTCTCTTGGGTATTTGGTAGTGTGATCAGTGATCGTATCACCAATCGTCACTGTTATCAGTGATGGTTGTAAGAATGCAGTAAGGACTAGGCGATTTTCGACAGATATCGCCAACTACAACATTCCAACCGGTTGTCAGCCGTAACCCGGTCGATTCGCGGTAATTATTCTTTCTGATTTTATACCTGCTGCGATTATCGTCAGTTCCTCGAAGGTACGCACAGTATACGCGTATATACCTTATCATCAGCGGTAACGGCACCTTGTGACTTGTGACATTTCACCATGATGTAGACGTTTCTAATCGCTTTCAGTCCACTCGTAACTCGTAAGTCCAATGATTTCGTTCTGAATTCAATAAATCCAATTCGCGTTTGTCACCTCGTCACGTCAACGTATCTCGTGAATTCACCTCAATTGGCTTCGAGATTGCCAATTTTGCGATCGACGCATCGGGGTAGTTGTAGTTGTCAAATTGTCATTTTATTGCGCGGCTATCCTTTGCCTGTTTGATATCAATAACATTACGATTGCGTATTTGAGCTTTTCAGAATATAATTTACTGCTGAAAATTATTTTTCCCCTCTTTGGACATTCCTCTGATTTACAGCTCGAGATATGCGACTGACAGTATTTACTTTGAAACAGTTGCTCTGATATTTAATTTTCCATGCCGACTCTTCCTCATTAAATTATACATTTTTGTGATAAAGCTGCTTAAACTTTAGTTAGTTTGATTGATCAAAGAAACATTAACATTGACCAATAAAATATACAAAGGTTTTATTTATTGCATCATGATAATTATTTTCAGATTGTAAAGATGACTGCGGGAACCAGTTTAGTGGTACCCATAGTGTTGTGGGGACGCATAGCACCAACCCATTGTATTTCTTGTGTCTACTTGTCTCGGGATCAAAAGACTTTGGTAACAGGATGTTACGATGGGCAAATATGTCTGTGGCAAGTGGATCCAGAAACATTAAAGGTATATACAGACTAGGTAATAAAGTTGTAAAAGGCTTAATCTTTTGTTAATTTGTTAAATTCATGATTTTTAATATAGATGACTCCGAGATGCCTGCTGGTTGGACATACCGCTCCAATAATGTGCCTCAGTCGAGCCAGTGTTGTAATGGAGCAAAATTTTATTGTCAGCAGCAGTGAGAGTGGAGAGATGTGCACTTGGGATCTAGTCGATGGAAAGTGTCGCGAGGCGGTGAAGCTTAACAGCGTTCACACACAAATGTTGCCCTATGTTTCCGCAGGTGGCGAAGATGTCAGACTATTTTGTTCTGGGTAGAAATAATATTATTAATATATTACAATATTAATATCGCAAGAGTACATGTATATATACATCTTTTTATTCATTTCAGATACTATCCTGAAGTTTTGGTGATGGACCCATTCAGTTTAGAAGTGCTATTCACCCTGAGTTCCCGCGTAAATCCAGACTGGATTAGCGCCTTGCACGTTTTGCGGCCGGCCAAACGGAAAGGTCGGTTCTACGTGCACACAAGTTAGTTACACTCCATCACACCTACGCTTTATACCATCAACAGCTACCTTTTTCAACTTCACTGCCAACAGATACTGTATAAGGAATCGCAATGTAGCTTGTATATAACAAATTTGATTTTAAAATCTAACGCGTAAATTTAGTTTGAATCTTTTATCTACTATATCTCATATATTTAAATATTATATCTCATATATATAAATATAGTTATCGTTTTTATATTATATAATCAGTACTCAATATTTTTTTGCATAAATAACTCAGTAATGCGCGAAACAGTATCTCTTGGTGTTTCATTATTATATTTTGTAAACTTATGTGATCCTTTTTAAAATTTTAAAGAACCCCTTAAGTAAAGAACTGTGGATATACTGGAGGGTAAAGTTTTTCTTTTTTAATTGTGTCCGATTGAATTTTTGTGTCTGATTTGAACGAAATTAAGCTGAATAATAATTCTTATAATTATTGATTGTACTAGTATGATTTGAAAGCAACTAACGGTATTTGAGGCATTTATTTCTTTTATACTTACAAGGGAACATAACCAGTTGGATCTCTCCGATTTAAATGAGCTTTTAGTATGTTCTATAGACAAAAATTAGGGACACGTATTTTTTATAGAACAACATATTAAAAGCTCATTTAAATCGGAGAGATCCAACTGGTTTGTGTTCCTTGTTAGAAAGGATTTTATAATCTGCTATTTTATTATTTTTCTCTAAGCAATTAATCTTAAGAAGCTTTATATTGGATTATAAACTGGGATTGTCTTTTTCATCGATATGTCGAGCTATCAATTTTCGATCTCAATTTTACGTGCGCGAGTAAAGTTATTATAATTATATCTAATTTAATGGTTTTATATATATCCAATTTTTAGTTTGGTCATTTAATAACAGTTACATTGTTGCAGCATGTTAATGAAACCGGACACATATGTCAGCGCTAATGCGTTGACAGTCAAGGCTGTATCATTCTGTATGCTGCATTCTTTCGTTTTTTTTTTCTTTATTTAATCATGGTTCATACATCTCTTTGCACATTTTCAAACAATATAATCATTAGTACTAACGCGTTTCATGTTTTTCTTCTTTTTACAATAACAGAATATCCCTAAAACTATCCTGCTACTCATGTATGAATGTCATCATCTATATTTATGCACACTGCATTTCATTACACTTTCATAACACTTTCACCTGGTGTACTGTGTTTCTATCTCTATTCGTAAGTATATATGTGTGTGTGTATATATATATTATATATATATATATATATAAAATATTATAATCTATACATGCGGCAACATTTAAGTTGCATGTATTATCGTTAAATTTAATCTACCCTTGCTACAATTAAAAATATATAGTTAATATTTCAAATCATATTGATGATTATTTCTTCAAACTGTTCAAAAAATTATTTAATAATTGAATATTTTTTTCTATCCCGTTTCAATACCTTGTTATTTATAAGATTGTAACTTATAAGAGAGTTTTGGATGAAATGCTAGTGTTTACAGCTTTAAATGTAATTTGCCTAAAATTAGTTTCTAATTTTTATAGTGCTATTTATATTTATGTTAGTTACGCTAGAGTGTTAATAGCCAATTTTTTGTTAGTAGCCAACATTTTCTTATTAATTGTATGTGAACTCATAAAGATGATTATTATATGCATAAAAAATCAGATTAATCGCAAACAAAGGCTTTGAAATAAATATTAAGGATAGGACACACAATTTGCAGAACACGCAAATATCTTATCAATACTCATTAAACGTAATTGTACATATTAATATTCTTTTAATCAATATAAGATTTCGCTTAGTCAAGTCAAATAAATCAAGTACACATAATTTTTCTGCATAACTGGAAAAGCATGATTTCGCTGTAATTTAATACGTAACGCTTTCTACTCCATATGAAAACATCTAGCATGTGCGCGTAATACGCATACAGAATTACCTCTTCACGAGGATCATATTGTATCTAAGTAGAAAATAACGCTATCTTTAATCACCTGTGACACTACTTTAGCCGCTTTATTCAATCTGACAAATATTTATTTGTAAATTAATTATATTGATTAATTAAAGCTGGCAAATTTTTTTATTATCAGCGAACAACAAAACTGTTCGACCTAACGAAACAGTCTATCGCTTAAATTGCTACAATGCTCTCCTAGATTTATTTAACGCGCAACAGGCGCTTCCATTCGTTTAAAGACGACGTCGTGTTGGCTCTGACGACAACGGGTACAGTCAAGGTGTGGACACTTTTGGGACACGAGAATCGAAACAGCGAGCCTTTGTACGAGCACGAAAGCAAACAGATACGCTGTTTAAATGCGCTTGCGATGACTTGTTGCCCCTATAATCAGAGAACAGTATTGATCGTATGCTCTAAGTATTGGCAGGTAATTAACTGTGTTGTTCTTACCATTAAATGTATATGATTAAACAGTTTTATTATAAAAATTAGATTAGATTAGATCGGATCAGATTAAATAATTTCAAGAATAGAATTTTAACATCAAAATGTTTTTGGCATCTGTAATGTAATCGAAAACTGCTTTGATACTGCAATACATATCATTGGAATAATTTTATAGATATTCGATGCCGGTGATTTCTCGGTTCTTTGCTCGATAACAGCCCCACGTGGCGAACGTTGGATGGCAGGTGATTTCTTGGCGGCTGATAGAGTCATCCTGTGGAGCGATGAAGGTCATGGATATTTATATAAACTTCCAGCAAAGTACGTACTATTTAAATACAACATACGCGATAAG